AAGAATTTTAAAAAGAAGAAAAGCTGTGACTTTTATCAGTGACAAACAGATTCACGCTCACACAGAGCATGGGTGTCCATCGATAGGTGTCCACAGCCACACCAATAAAGATATATTTTCTGAAGCCTACATTTCCAGAGAAATGTGGATCTTCCCTTGTCTGTTAGAACTGAATTTACTAGTAAAACCAAAGATATGGATTTTATACAAGTGGATTCCAGTTTGACATCCTTTGGTTTCCTGCCATGATATAACCAAAAAGAAAAAAACAAACTCACTGCCATCGAGTCAATTCCAACGCACAGTGACCCTATAAAACAGAATAGAACTGCTCCATAGGGTCTCCAAGGTTATATATCTTTACAGAAGCAGTCTGCTTCATCTTTCTCTGGTGGAAAGGCTGGTGGGTTCAAACTGCTGACCTTTTGGTTAGCAGCTGTTCTGGTTACCAAGTGCTGCTCTGACAAGAATATAACAAATGGGATGGCTTGAACAAAGAGGAGTTTATTCTCTTACAGTTCGGGAGGCTAGAAGTCTGAGTTCCAAGTGCCAGCCTCTAGGGGCTGGGTGAAAGCCCCTTAACCTTAGGCTTCAGCTCTGCCTCCTGTTCCTGGCCTGCTGAAGCTAGAGGCATCTCTTCATTTGGGTAGCTACTGGCTGCTGAGGCTAACAAGCCCAAGGTTGGCAAATAAAATGGCACAGTCCCGATGTTACCAAACCACATGGCAGGCCATTAATTCAAGTCCACTGAAAGTCCAAAGGTCGGCAGAGCATGGCAGGTTGCTGAACAATGACACAGATACATAAAGGGTCCAAGCATGCCATAAGCTAGAGAGCGTTCCCCGAGGCTTCTTGTTATATACAGGAAGCAGACCATATCCCTAAGGCAGCTACTCAGCTGCTCACAGTAGATTCCACCATGGAGTTGATTACCAGTCTCATCATGGGGAATACTACATCCAGCTGCCCAGGCACTCAACCAGGCCCAGCCAAGTTGACACATAAGACTTAACCACTACAGCAGCTGAATGCTTTAACCACTGTCACCAGAGCTTTTGGCCATGATATACGTTGTATGATATATATAACCCTTGAAATAAGGAAGACAGGAAACAATCCCTAAAACTACGGGTATACAACATTTCCTTCATTGAAAGGGCAGCAGCCTTTGGAATAATGTTTCTTTCCTCAAGAAATATGATCTTTGATTGCCTTATCTTCAATCCCTTGCTCCTGCCCCCACCCTTTACACTTTTGTTTGTCCTTATCTCTGAGACTGTTTTTTTAGCAAAAGTCACCCCAAGCACAGGATTGTTGTTGTTGTTGTTGTTATGTGCCCTCGAGTCGGACCTGACTCATAGCGACTCCCCCTTGGGTTGCTGAGGCAGTATCACTATGGAAGTAGATTGCCCAACCTTCCTTCTGAGGAGTGGCTGATGGGTTTGAACCGCCACCCTTCTGGTTAGCTGTCAAGTGCCTTAGGCACTATGCTACCAGAGCTCCCAAGCACAGGATATTCTTGTTATGATAGAATCACAATATATGAAATATAGAAGACACCATGGAGATAATAAGGAGCCTGGGTGGTGCAGTTGTTAAGTAGTCGGCTACTAGTCAAAAGGTTAGCTGTTCAAACCCACCAGCCTCTCTGTAGGAGAAGGATGTGGCAGTGTGCTTCTGTGAAAACTGTGTGCCACTGAGTCAATTTCAACTCACAGAGACCCAAAGTGACACAGCACAACTGCCCCACAGAGTTTCCTAGGCTGTAATCTTTATGGGAGCAGATTGCCAGGTCTTTTCTCTTGCAGAGCTGCTGGTGGGTTTGAACCATTGACCTTTTGGTTAGCAGCCCAGTGCTTTAATCATTGTGCCACTAGGGCTCCTTCTGTGAAGATTACAACCTTGGAAATCCTATAAGGCAGCTCTGCTCTGTCCAATAGGGTTATTATGAGTCAGAATTGACTCAATGGCAACGGTTTGTTTTGTTTTGTTGGGGGTGGAGGAGGGTGTGGAGATCATATATAGCCCAAACTCAACTTAACAGCAGAGCTGTGCCTAAGAGAAAGTGTCTCATGAAAAAGGCCTCTGTTCTCACAGCACAAAGCAAGCCCAGGAAAGCTTCACATGACTGGCAGGGCAGCCAGGCACATTCCTTAAGTCTCTTATCTGATTACTATTTCTCAACCAGTGGGATTCCAATTCCTCATGTGCAACACACTCTAAACAAAATAAATTGAAGAACTGGAGAGAGAATGTTTCTTTGCCTATTACTAGAAAGCAGAGAGGTCCTCGTTCAGCCAAAACAGAATTAGTCTACTCTTATGATCTGCCAAGCCAGCTTTTACCTTAGAGTTCTCTGCCTACATTGGGAATTTGGGGGAGAGAGAAAAGAGATTATTCATTGGCCATTCAACAATACTATGCATGCTTCTAATCAACTACATTTAACTGATGAAAAGTTATAAAAGATCAAGAGGAAGTTCTACGATCTCCAACTACACATAATAATTTTGATGAATCTCAAACACATTGCTGAATGAGAGAAATCAGACAAAAAGTGCAAATACTATATGCTTCTATTTATATAAAGTATGAAACCAAGCAAAACTAATGTCTTCTGTTAGAAGTCAGGACAGTGGTTAGCCTTGGCATGGGGGAGTAACTAGAAGGGAGCAGGAGGGTCTATAATGCTTTTGGGGTTCTTTATTGTTCTGTTTCTTGATCTGGGTGCTGGTCACCCACGATGTGTTTAGTATGTGACAATGCATTGAGGTGTATATTTAAGACGTGCACTTTTCTCCAATGAAATGTAACACATAAACAGCCCTGTGAGAAATAAGAAACTCTTCCTAAAAAGCAAAAGAAAGAAAGAAATTCTTCCTTACATTCTCAGCACAGAAATACAGCTTAAGGAGGTCAACCTGGGAGCATGGCTAGGAATACAATTCATGGGGGGATTTTTCTTCTGGAGGCCAAATGCCCCCATGCTTTATATAGATGCCATGCACTAAGGCATCTGGTAAAATGTGAATGGGGTACTTGCAGAGCCAGGAATAAGCATGGTTTTGATACCAGCCTGCCATTAGCATAAATGACGCTGTGACCTGGAAAGGCCAAAAAAACTGTCTCAGCCTGGTTCTTCTCTAATCTTCCAAGGCTGAGAGAAAAGGGAGGTGGGCTATGGGAAAAAGGTGGCTGAATATCTCTCACAAAAGTTTTTCTCAGATGAACAATGAGAATGGAGGAGGAAACTACTAGCCATCCCCTTTCCTTCTTGAGACAGTCTAAGAGGTTGTAAAGGTCATGGAAAAGAGTTGAAGTAGTATCTGATTACTGTCAAGGTTTCACCTAAGAAAGTTTTAATTTTAGTCACACACACGCCACAAATGTCACCAAGTGCTATAGGATAACTCAAACTGATGACAACCAAGCTAGAACAGATGCTGGAAACCATAGAGAAGATAGTGAAAAGCACCCTCACCCCTAAAAGAAATGTGGTCCAACCACAGCTCAGCAGGGTCACTAAAAATAGCCAGCAAACTCTGGGATGAGTTATCTTTCTCTTCCTTCTTTGTCAGATGATTGTATTCTTAATATCCTGCCACTAAGACACAGGGAAAGCCCCTTCAGGGACACAATTATGCAGATGGCAGATTCTAAATAAATTCTTTATTTGGGTTGGTAAAAAAATGCAAGAAACTGGGTTCTAATTTCTTTCTAATCTAGATCTGGAAAGCTTTCTAACATTATTGTTGTTATGTGCCATCGAGTCAGACCCAACTCATAGAGACCCCTCCTTGGGTTTCTGAGGCAGTATCACTACGGAAGTAGATTGCCCAACCTTCCTTCCAAGGAGTGGCTGGTGGGTTTGAACCACCA